AAAAGTTGTGACTATATAAAGGTCAAAATTTATAAGTTTTATAATAGCTAGGTCAAAAAATAGTGTGATTATAACAAAGTTGTGATTATATTAAGAGTGACTATAATAAGATCTAACTATAAATACAATTAGCCAGATGTATTTATTATATAAAATCTGTTATACAAAATCTAATCTGAGCTAATCAAATTGATTTATATTACTTGTCAAAATCGATATTTGGAGATAAGTCAATAGAAATAAAACAAATTTATTAGATAAATTTGTCTCATTTTTACTAATTTACCCTATTTTATAATATTTGATTTTTTGGGTATTAGTTATCAAAAATAGCAAGTTATTAGGTTTTAATTATGAAATAAATCAATTTTATATTGGTTATAATAAATTATTGGTTTTGACAAATTGGTTTGAAAAAATGTATTGTATAATAAAGTCAAAATTTAATATTAGTTACAACAAAAATAATTAAATTTGTACTTATTACTATATATTTATATTAAAAAAAAAAATTTATTAAAAATATTAAATATATTATACTTTAATTAATACAAATAATAAATTTTAATAAAAAAAAATATTTTTGTAATATTAAAAAAATTTTTCAAATTTTTGCTAATTTCTAAATAAAATTCTGTAATTTGATATCCAAATTTTTATATACCTGCTACAAGTATATAGAATTCAAATTAAAAAGATTTTATAAGATTTAAGCAAATAGTTGTTAAAATAGAGTTAGCCAGGGCGGCCACCCCAAAATTCGCTAATGATCAATGTCACTGCCGCAGCATCCAATCATAGCACAGGTTTTTTTTCGATTTTTAACAGCTGTCCTACCTTGCTTATAGCGTCGGGAGTGCGCCGAGTGTAACCCCGGGTTGCATAAGGAGAGCATCTTCCTGCGTTGCGAATACAAAGTAAAATTTCCAATTATAATTGAAAATTTATACTTTATTCGCAAATTAACTATAGCTGCCGCAACAAAATGGTACGGCAGATTCTCGATTTTGATTGGCTAAAAGCGATGACCAAAAAATTAGGCCGGAATTACTCATAATTTTACTAATGAAATCACAGCTGCCCATTAAGTGAAAATTGTTCCTGGGCCAATTTTACTATAATGCGGGCTTATTTTTTAAAAATTTCTATTTTTATAATAACAAATTAAAAAGTTAATTCTGGCCGGAAATTAGTAACAATTGGGTAATGTGGGCCAAAATTTTGAAAGATTCTCGGCCGTTAGCCAATCAAAATCGAGGATCTGCCGTGACAATTTTGTTGCGGCAGCTATGGTTGATTATTCACAACGCAGGAAGATGCTCTCCTTATGCAACCCGGGTTACACTCGGCGCACTCTCAACACTATAAACAAGGCAGGGCAGCTGTTAAAAATCGAAAAAAACCTGTGCTTCCAATCATTAATCAATTAATTAATTAATTATATGCTGCGGCAGCTGCGATTGTGTCGATCATTAACGAACTTTGGGGTGGCCGTTCGATGGAAGTGTATTCAGATTTACAGATTTATAAAATTTTGCACAAATCTGAATACTGATATATATGCATGTGGTTCTTATAAAAAATTGACAGAGAGATCATATTGATTATTTTTTCATATAATAAGTCATTCATAGAACTAAGTCCAGAACTGATCATTTATTTATATTAACATTACCATATTAAAATAAAAAATTAACAATTCCGATACATAATACTTTATACGTAACACTTTATACATCTTTCTTAGATTTATAATGCTATCAATATACAGATATAATTCAATCATTTAGATTGAGTATAAATTCCTTGATTTTCACTGGGATGGCCGTTTTGAAATTTTATCATATCTTTGGACAGTAAAGAAACCAACTCTTTTTCTAAATTTAACACTTTATCCGTCAAAATTTTTTTTTCCTTGATATTGTCGTTTAATAAATCGGCCAGCACAAGATTTGCTCTTGCATATTCCTCGTTTTCTATTTCCAATTTCGCGATCATCTCTTTTAAAATGAAATTTGAATGCATAATCTGTTCTTCATGATTTTCGTATTTATCGTTAATACTTACATCCTCATGATACTGTGACAATAATAAATAATAAAAAGTTGTTTAAAAATATATATATTTTTATAAAGATTATTACAAAATAAATAACTATTTATACCATATCATAATCGTTCCAGAATTTACTCAAGCGACCATTTCTTTTAAGATCATCCTAAAATAAAAATAAAAAACTATAAGATTAAAAGAACCAGAAAATATGATTCATATAGCCTAAATTTTCCCAGAAATCTATAAAGAACTAGACTGAGTATGTAGAATTCTTCGGTCAAGATATCTCTCTCCAGAACTAAAAATCATATCTCTAGAGCCAGGCCAGGACACGTCTCCCCAGAACTACAAAGGAACCAGGCCAGGGTGTTACTCCCCAGAACTAGATGCAAATACAACTTTCAGGACCAGATCGAGATATGTCTTCCTAGAAATCTACAGAAGCAGAAAATACGGCAAGAATTGAAGTGTATTCTTGGAGCCAGGCCAGGACACGTCTCCCCAGAACTACAAAGGAACCAGGCTAGGGTGTTACTCCCCAGAACCAATCATACTTTCTCCAAAACCAAGCATATTTTGTAATGAAGAGGTACATAATCACTCCTTCTTCGGAGTGATAGATCTTCTTAAACGCCATATTTCTGTATTAAAGAAATTTATAAAGGTAGAAATAAAAAGCTCCGAACTTTTTTTAATAATTTAATATAAAAAAAATTTTCCAACAATAATGGTGCATGAAATTACCAAACACTAATCTTGTGATTATCAAGTCCCTTTAATCAAAGGAAAATAACAACTCACCGAAAGTTTTGTTAAAATTTCTCGTGCTTTGGCCTTTTCTTTGTCATAACTATTGGTTTCGTACCAAAGCAATTGGCTCTTTAAAGTTTTTATTACCAGTCCTTTGTTCATCGGGTAGTCACTGTTTAACCATGCTTTATGAAAATCAAGGGCGTCCCATCTGTCGGTGGTCGTGATGACCCAATATTCAAAATTTAAATCGGAGCACATGTTTGAGATAAAAGACAAAATGAAAAGATAGTTCTTAAAATTTAAAACAAGAGTTTGTTTTAATATATATTAAATATTATTGAGAATTTGCTCTATTATACAAACGCGTGAGTACGCGTAAGATCACGCGACCGGATTTCAGGATCAGGTGTAACGTAAAAATCGAAGCGAAGCCACTTTTTTACAAAAAAACGAGAATAGCTCGAAATTTTAATTATGAAACCACCTTCTGCGGCCTAATTAAAAATGTTTCTCATTAAATTTTACCAACTAACTCTAACTACAACGCGGTTTAGTTCTTTTACTTAGAAAACAAACATGACTATTATGTTACACATGATCTTAAAATTTGATTGGTCAAAATTACAATTTTTTGTAGGAACGCTAAAACGGGGGACGTCTAAAGCGGAGTAGATTCATAATATATATTTTATTAAATTAACTTCATAGTTTGGGTTATCAGATTAAGGTTATAGCAGGTTTTAGATAATTATATATGCAAAATTGCCCTGCCGTCATTTTTACTTAGCCTACCCAAGGTAGGTTTAGACTGTTGTTTTTTGTATTTTTCAAGTTTTTCGCTTTTTTTTCTTTGCTGGCGATCGTCAAAATTCTATAATTTGATTGGTCCATGTCATGTGATTCTGCACCGCTTTAGACGACCCCTTCGTTTTTGATACTCTTGCATCTACTTTTTTGATACTGATTGATATGTAAATTCCAGTAAAAATAATAATTTTTAAAAACTTTAAGTAAAAATATTTTAACCGAGGTATTATACCAGGTGTCCAAAAAGTTCCTATACATGGTCACTTTTTTTTTTAAGTGTTGCATAAGGCCGTTCAAAGTTGATTAGTTGGTTAACGTCATCCCCCCCTCTTGGTTAACTGTTCCCCCCGAAATTAAACAAGCCAATCACAACACAGCAAAGACTTCATTAATCATGTGATCAAAAGTTGACCAATGAAATTTAATCAAATATTTTTAGATATATATGTGTTTGTTTAAATCTTCCCCTCCCCCCCTCGCTCCTGAACCCAAAATGTTGACGTTAACCAACTAATTAACTTTGAGCGGCCTAAGGTCACTTTAAAAAAAAAAGGACCGTGTATAGGAACTTTTGAGACACCCGTATATTTCATGACCTAAAGAATTACATTCAATTATGATCACTGGATCACGAGATACGTAACAATATAATTTAAACAAATACGTATTCTTAAAGTTCTGTTAAGAATTCTTAATGCATTAGACAATGTTTCTCAACTTTATATAATACGTTTCGCACCAAAAAAGGGTATTGTGATGCAAATAAGTTTAACACGAAACACATTCATCAAAAGTTAAAGTCATGAAATTTTGTCACTGCAGGCATCACTTAACCTTAATGCATTAATGACGATTTGCTTTGTACAAAATATCTGATTTTGTTCTATTACGTTAATTTTTAACTAATACCAAGAATTTATCATTTAAACGTATTAGGGATGGTAACCTCTTACTAAAATCTTGTGATCTCAAGGTCGTCTAAAAGACAATCTAAATGTGATTATAATACTGGAACGAATTCAATACAATCCATGTAATTACAATTAAGCACAATGCTCGTTCGCTATTGTTCTATACATTAAACCACTAGAGTAAACCAGCTTTTAACTATTTTTTGACAGATGGGTGAACTCGTCTCTTAACTAATCCAGGACCGGACTTTTTAGGGGACTGGATCAGACGAACCATAAAACGAATACGTATAACCTCAAGAACCAGCTAATGGAATAAACCAATTTCAGCATCATTCGATTCGTCTTAATAAGACAAATTAAATGGTACAAGGTCATTCTTTTTAATAATCTTTTAAATGAGATCCTTAATGAGACGAATCGACTCTGACCAGCCAACGCTAAGTCATTAGCTACAAATATATACTTTCATTATAATACCCATATCTACAATATATACTTTCATTATATATTTCAACCCGGTTCGAATATTATAAAACCACAGGTTATATTACGCTTAGACTCAACAATAGTATTGTAGCCCTCATTTTTATTCCGAGTTTTAAAAAAGAAATCTAATCTAATATTTTATATTCTAACTGATGGATTTATTTTTATTAATAATATAAAAAATAAAATATTCTTTTTTTGGCAAAAATAATAAGATACCGATACGTACTAACTTATATGTGTACTTGATTACATATTTTATGACACATGACCAAATTTTAAATCACCTTATATCATTACCATTATTAGCTTTCCTTTTATGTATTTAGTGCCTTTAATCATTATATATAAAATATATAAATTTTCAACGTTTTCTCAAAAAAATTCCTTGAATGTTGCGAATAAACTTCGGAGCCTTTTTAATTATTTCAGCATCACGAGTTCTTGCATTTCCTTATTGGGCTCTCAACGAAAGGGACAATAATCAAACTACTATTTATGAACAAATGAATCTTGAATATTGGATCAAAGTTTTCTTTACTATTTTTTTAGTATTATTAGGTGGATTATTTGCTGGTAATTGATTTATTAATAATATTGAATATCTTTCGTTATTCGCTATCTTATTATGTAATTGGCTTTTTTTTTAATTTTAACCTATTAGGCTTAACCATTGGATTGGTAATTTACATATAAAATTTTGGTCTGTATTTTAATATATTTTTGTTCCTGAGCCAACACATTGTACTAGATGAGTCTAGATGAAACAAACCTTCATATTCTCTGCCGATCTGAAGATCCTAAAAAACGGTACGTGCATACATGCCTTGAAGATATATTCAATTTTCATTTATTTACGATGCTTTTTTTTTTTAGCAAATATGCCGCGCGTATTCAGCCTATACGTAAAAATGGACATCTCTTACTTGTGACTCTTCTTCTTAGCAATGTTTTAGTTAATGAAACTTTGCCGATTGTCATGGATGACATTATGGGAAGTGGCAGTATATCTGCAATTCTGGCTTCTAGTGCACTTATTGTTCTCTTTGGTGAGATCCTTCCTCAAGCAATCTGTGCTAGATATGGTCTTGCTATAGGTGCTTTCTTTGCGTGGTAAACATTATTTCTTCATAATTATTAGATGTTTATTTGATTGATCAAACTAATGTTTATCCTTTTTAGGCCCACAAGGATATTGATTTGGATAACTGTATGACCTTTTACACGCCTTCTTAAATTATAAATATTTCGTCACTCATTGATCATTATTTTCACTATATTTAGTTTATTATTTCGTATCCGATTGCCAAGCTATTAGATTTTGTTCTCGGTGAAAATCATGGAATAATTTATCGTCGTGCTGGTAATTTCAATAGAATTTAAATAGAATTTATTGTGACATTATTTTATTCTTTTAATTAATAATTCTTTCAATATAGAACTCAAGGAATTGATTAAATATCACGAAACATCTACTGATCATGGTGGTGATCTTAATACTGACAGTGTTACAATTATTCGAGGTGCACTTGACTTTCAAGATAAGATAGCTGAAAGTGCGTTAACTTCACTAGACAAGGTGAATTAAAAATTTTCATTACAGCATTATTATTGATTTCGTTACTTGTTTTCTAATCATTATTTCTTATTCATATCAACAGGTTTTCATGATTTCTATTGACACCATTCTGGATAGAAAGACTATGACTGAAATATACACATCAGGATATTCTCGCATTCCAGTTTATGAAGGTTCTCATAAGATAATTAAAGGTGTTTTATTGACTAAGGTATAATTTGAATTTCAAGTCACCAATTTTACTACAAAATATTAATTATTGCTGACATTCTATATAGTCTTTAATCTTGTATAACCCTGATGAGGCTCTTCCTTTGAAAAATTTCGGTATAAATCCTATTATTGTGGTTGAAGCTTCGACATCTTTAGTCGATATTTTAAATTCATTCCAAGAAGGTAAATGTCATATGGCATTAGTTGTTAAAGAATCAAATCCTATCGGAATCATTACTTTGGAAGATATTCTTGAAGAAATTATTCAAGAAGAAATTTATGATGAATCAGATACAATGCATAAAACAATAAATGGATTGAACGCTTCGATAAGTATTATTCGGAATAACAAAGTCAGGAAAAATTCGACGAAGAAAAATGATTCTAACAATAATGATCATAAAGACTTAATTGCATTTGATGACGATAATCCATAAAATTGATGATCTGTTTGCTAAATTATAAAGAAATACTACTGTATTAGTCAATTTACTTGCATTTTGACAAATCTAAATCTTCGTATTTCGTGTTTGCAAAAATGGAAATTTAAATATTTGTATGTTGAAAAAAAGATATATATATTTTTTAAGACAAATTTCTAAAAATAATTTATACGTATAATGTTACATTTAAAAAAAACAGATTAATAAATTTAATTTAGTAATAAAAATTATAGTGAACCAACCTATAGAAATTTTGAAAAAAATGTTATTCATAAATGCATGTCATAACACTTTTTTTATCGGATCAAACTCTCGAAAGCTATGTATTTGAAGAGCTTATTAAAATATATTTTACAAAAAGTTTTGTAGATTTATAACCAAAATCTAGTTGAAGTTTTATATTTGATCTAATCTTTATTAGTAAAACATCACATCTTCCGCCAGATTTTTCGCTTTTATTCGGAAGTAAACTATAATAGGATATTATCCAGAACCTTATATTTTTATACTTCGATGCTTAATTCATCAAATGATTATTCGTCAAATTTCACTCTACGTAGTACAGAATTCTTGCAGAATTTGATAATAATAGACAATTTATTAAAATCATTGGCCCTTGAACCTAATTTGAATGTTAAATAAACATTAAGTCATAGGATTTACCTACTTTAGCGCGTATGTATGTACTGTACCTGCGTGGCATAAACAAATTCGCAGACAAAAGTTAGCCCGGTTTAGGTTAAGATTGATTTATAGTTAGGTTAGCTAGAGGTAGCTTTTCGACGAAACGCCTGTCGGAAAATTCTACCAGAACCTTCGTATGTACGTACTTATTTTTATTTTTAAGTGTGTTCACTTATTGAAAGGATGCGTGGCGTAATTGGGTGGAATTGATCATCAGATTCTTGCGAAGGGTACGAACGAACGTATATATATTGAATTAAAATAAAAAATCTTATTTAATTTTGTTATTAAAATACAATACTTAAAAATTTAAATATTACAAAAAAAAATAGAATATCGCTAACTTATCCCCTGGTTAAAATCACAAGGGGTGCTATATCTAAAAAAAAGGTAGGGTTCTAAGTAAAAATGTTCAGAACCCAAAAACCTTATGCGTAACAAAATTTGGACCTTATATTGATTTTTATTATGTTATATAAACCTCTATTTTATATTAAAATTGCATTCTGACACTAAAAATTAGTGGTTAACATTACCACCAGTTAAAATTAGTTACTTTCTATTTATTAATTGATATATTTTAAAAATTCTGTTTAAATATATTTGGCTTAATAACCATTATTTACTATACTGTATGCTCAAATCTAAAATAAAATTAAATAAAAACATTTATAAATTTGATTAATTTAATGCTTAGGTATTCTTTTTACTTGAACTAAAAAAAAAGATTTTTTATTAAGAAATCTTAATACAGTTGGGTAAATTGTAATATTGAACTGACTAGTGTTTCGCAAGATCCGACCCGGATCCGTCAAGCGGATCAGGTTCGGAACCACGATTTTAAGATTCATCGAATTCGGATCCACATAGAGATCCGATCCGTCATATATAAAAGCGTCTGATCTGAAATGAATCCGAGAATCCGTCTATTTAAACACGGATCCGGATTCATACTTGGACCCGATCCGAATTTTCGGATCTAATCCGGATCCTTGAAAATATCCGTCCGATCCGATCCCTGCGGAACACATATCTTTTTAATTTTTAGCTTAGCACTATTTTTTAGCCAATTAAATGGTTTGGAACGGAGCTATTGTAACAACAACAAGGTAATTTATTAGAAAAATATTATGACTATTCATGCATTTTCGTTAGTTAATAATATACATGTTCCAAAAAGTAAAAAAATAGTTCCAGTGGAACTTTTCACTGAAATCACTGGAAAATCTGGACGTCCAGTGGGGTTTCTGTTTCCAGTCCAACAACGCTGACTATTCTGGTTGTATTAACAACCAGAATAATTATTCACTATAATGTTCTGTAACCTTGTCTTTATCGGAACTTCCATACAAAGTTTCAAGCTTTAATGCAGCTTGCTCTTTCGAATTAGTATCGATATCAGCACACTGAAGCGCTCTATTATAAGCTTTTATTGATTCGTTTGGAACTGAAAGTTGCTCGTACAGAGCTCCCAAGCGTAACCACATCCTAGCATCATACGGTCTAAATATCAAAAGATAACGATCGTTATTGTATAAATCTTTTATAAGTATAACTATTATTTGAACTTACCTTAAAGCTGAAGACCTTTGATAATAATATATCGCATAATAAGGCATTTTCAACATTTCATAAGTTTGTCCAAGACCACACCACGCTCGATAATCTTTGGGATTGATCTCTGATTTCATAAAGAAATATATTTATTATATTTATTAAAATTTGACAAAATAGCATAATAAAGTTTAATTTACCCACGGCTCGTTTATATGATACGACAGCCGCATGAGTATTTTTCAGTTCAACGTATTCATGTCCCATCAATGTCCAAGCGGCCAAACAATTCCTATTAACTTGTAATGCTCGTCGAAAATAAGATATTGCCTTTTCATGTTCACCTTTCGAGCTATAGTAATTTCCTAATTATCAATAACAGCAATATATAAACGATACATCATTTATAGATGTATAATAATTAATACATCAAATAGATAATGACATACCTACGATGCACATAGTTTCAGAACGAAATTTATCAGTGTGACAACTCATGTGTGCAAGGAAACTCAACTTTGCACTCTTTCCATCTAACACATACAGAATATTCGAATAAAGATCAATATCATCTAATCTATATGGATCTGATTTAATTATATCTTCGAATACAGATTCTGCTGCCAAATAATCTAAAATAAATGAAATGTGAAATATAAATTGCATATAAATTATAAAGTAAAGTATTTTAATTGATATAACCGAATAATTAAAAAAAAAAAAAAAGACAAATACAACACCTCTATTATTGTAATATGTAATGGCAGTTTGAGTTTGTAAAAATTTATTTTCAACAAATTTATGTTGAACTTCACTAATCAATTCAAGACATTTGGTTGATTCCAATAATTCTGCAGACAAATAAATTCTGAAAAATCTTAACATAAAAGTATCTGGAAGCAAAGCCAGTATATCCTCCATCTAATAAAACAGGAGTCGTGCATGAGTAATTCATCAAATATGCAAAAAATCTTATGTTCATTTGTAATACCATGTCTTTATTTGTTATGCAGTTAGCCAACTCTAACCAAGCACTCCAATTGTAATGATACTTGAGTACAGATTCTAAAAAGATATCTTTAATATTCTTTGCTTGTGGATTTTTCTGTTTGAGAATGAGACCATATCTATATAAAATAAAGAAGTCATGTTCATCAACGGCCGAAGGGTGTTTTATTATTATATTGTTGGAAGTATACTAACATTATAAAAAAATATGGACTCACAAATAAATGAGAAAACCATCCATTTCACCCTCCTCACGCCATGTCTCCATTTCCTCCCATAAACTTTGTATTTCTTTATTCAAACATTTTGAATCATCTAATGGGCCTAAGTTATAAGATGAATTATTAAAAAAAAGATTCCATTAAAAAAAAAAAAAAATTGCAATTAACTTTCTATGTACCCATAATATCTTGACTTTCTTCTTCTTTTCTTTTTTCACCAGCCTATAATATCAATAAAAAATATTATATTTAATGACTCTTGGAAATAATTTTATAAAATTGATAAAAAGTTCATCTCATACCATATATTTAGAATAACCCTTTAAAAATCTACATTTCGAAGACTTGCATCTTTCCAACACAAAAGCAGCCCTATCAAATTCTTTAACGTCAAAATAAGATTTACCGAGAAGATATTTGTCATGTTCTATATAATCAAGATTTGTTGATAGGTCTTGTTGAGTAAAAAATGAACAATATGACATGTCCATTTTTGTAGATTCTAATGATCCTTTTGAAGAAGCTGAAAGTCCATCTAATGTTTCAGCAGCCCTATTGCATAAAATAAAGTATTCAGAACAATAGAATTCAATTCTATGCATTACGTTATTATTAACCTTTGATCATAATACCATTTTGCAGCAAAATATAACCCTCTTTCAGAACATTCTATAACAGCTTTTCTAAGAGCCACACCGACTTCCTCCAAAGTCAAAAACTCGAAGTTTGTTGGTAATGTTCCAGTTTCATTATACATTGTGACAGATCTGAGAAGTTTAAAAAAAGCGCGTCTTATCCCAAAATTTGATCCAATCAAAAGCTAGATTACCTGATGATCGTCGTTCATCTTGCAGTTGTTCAATATAATAAAATAACCAATCAAAATGGTTTCATTTTGAATAACTACAGTATGCGTTAAACAAGTTTTCGCGTTCTTGACAAATACTACGTTGCCACAAAATGAGTATTTTTGATCATCTCTAATCTTTATAACTTTGATGAATTCTTTTAAAGAATTGAACTTATATTCAGATTTCAGGCCGTCTTCTGAATTACAGTCAACTTTATAACGAACTGAACATTTTAAAAGAAAAAATTTTCGTGAGGGTGGTTAACGCTTACCATACTGAACTAATGTAAAATTTAAACCTTTATATATATAGCTTGCTATAAAACGTTCATTCTACGGATCGACTATATATCTGATAATGATATATATATGAGCTGTGTGCACATATAATGTAAGGTCCATTTTAAATTTTTATCCTGTAATTACATTGAGTGATATTCTCATCTAGGGATGCTAACGGCTTGACCCGACTTGTATATTTATTATTATAAAATCGATTGATGAATAGAGTCGATTGAGTCGTTAGCATCTCTAGTCTCTATAGCGAAATGTTACACTGGCAAATGAATAACTGGTACAAATCTCTCAATTAAAAAAAAACATTTAAGACAATTTTTCTCCCTAGTACAGTATATCAATTTCACAATTTTAGCAAAAACTGATTACAGCTGATTTGT